AATATTACGTATGTGTACACGGTTATATGTATACTTTTACATGCATCTGATGTTGTATGCCATGTTTTGCATTGAATAAAAAAACAATAATAAAAAAAAAATAAAAATAAAAAAACGTTTCTTGGTCATGCCCAGTCTCCTTTGTTCCTCAGGGGAAGGTTATAAGGTTACATACCTTCCGAAACTGCAACCGGGCTACTGGATACATACAAAATATTCCTCTGATTAATGATTATATTTTAATCCCATCAGGACCTGTTTACTCTACAGGAGACTTAACCTCAGAGAGGTAATGTCGCGAGATTTCCCAGTGACGAATTCCATTAAGTCGTTTGCTTCACTTCCACTGATTTAGTAACGTTAGTCACTATCATACACACAAACACGCATAACAAACACATCAAGACCGGAGCACGAACTCGCTATTAAAGCTCTCAGTTTCAGGCACCTCGTTACGAAACAGTGGGGTAGATAAAGCCCTTCAGCTCTCGTAGCTGTATATCTCTGTAAGACTCCGCTCTGGCTCCCGTTTAACAGATAAAAAACTACATTTTGTGACCTCACTCACGTATTAATCACACATCACCGCGATGACACTGTTGTTTCTTACCGGCTAAAGCGTCGGGCTCCAGGCCCGTCTCGTTGTCTAATCCACATATTATGAAGTAGTGGGCGAAGCGGTGAGGCGCCGACCCACAGCCCGCTGGACCCGCGCTCATTTCGGCTTTGGGGCTCCGCTTTGTCCGCTGCTGATACTACGACCTCAGCAGGTCCATGTCCAAACGGAGACGGTCAAATGGAGTCACTCGGAACACGGCCAGCCCGAAAAATGAGCACAAGAGTTGAGCAACAAGGCTGCAGACGCTGACCGATCCTCCGCGCTCTCTGGTCCGGAGCCTCCGCGTTCACTGACAGGCGACTCCGAGCCGCAGGCTGACGAGCGGACCTGACGCGCCCCAGCCAATCAGCAGCGACGGGCGCGGGCTCTTTAAAGGCCTCTCGTCCAATGAGTGTGCGGGTATTTGTAAGCTGTCGTTGTTTTCAGTGCAGGCTGTAAAAGAGGACCTTTTGTTCGTTCTTCAGTTAAACGCATCCCTCTATCTGCTCCAAAGTGTAGCACAGACTTTCTGACGCACAGTTAATTCATTACTACACAATATTATAACCATCCAGCAGCCTCCACACATCCTGGAGAGAAGCGTTAGGCAGCAGGCCCCCTTACTGTGGCATTCTCCAGCCAGGTCAGTCCATATAGTGCCCATTTAGTGTCTCCATGTGAATCTTAGGTAAAAAGGGTATGTAATTAAAAAAGTAAAGACAAAGAGCGTTGATTTTTTCAGCCATGTAGATGTATAAAAACTTTATTGAAGGTTATTGTAGATTGATGAACGTACTGACTGATCAGGGTCACTTTGAGTGATGATGACCACACTGACTGATGACCACACTAATCCATGATGACTATACTGACTGACAATGACAGTGCATGAGCAACCTAACTGATAATTACCACAAAGACTGGTAATGATCACAATGACCAATGATGAGCATCCTGACTGACAATAACCACAATGACTGAAAATGACTACATTGACCAATAACGACCAGACAGGCTTACAATGACTATACTGAATAATGATGGCGCCTCTGACTGACAATGACCAGACTGACTGATATTAACCAGAATAACTGATAATGATTATACTGAATAATAATGACCACACTTGCTAATGATGACCATCCAGATTGATGACAACCACCCTGACTGATGATGACCACACTGGCTGATTATGACTATCCTGACTGATGATGACCACACTGACCGAATATGACTATCCTGACTGATGATGACCATCCTGACTAGTGATGACCACACTGACTGATTATAATCATCTTGACTGGTGATGGCCATCCTGACTGATGATGACCACACTGACTGACGATGACCATCCCGACTTATGATGCCATCCTGACTGACGATGACCACATAGACTGATGATGACCATCCTGACTGATGATGACCACACTGACTGACAATGACCACACTGACTGATGATGACCATCCTGACTAACAATGACCACACTGACTGACAATGACCACACTGGCTGATGATGACCATCCTGACTGACAGTGACCACACTGACTGACAATGACCACACTGACTGATGATAACCATTCTGACTAGTGATGACCACACTGACTGATGATAAACATCCTGACTGGTGATGGCCATCCTGACTGACAATGACCACACTGAGTGATGATGACCATCCTGACTGATGATGACCACACTGACTGATGATGACCATCCTGACTGATCATGATCACAATGACTGATGATGACCACACTGAGTGATGATGACCATCCTGACTGATCATGATCACAATGACTGATGATAGCCATACTGACTGACAATGACCACACTGACTGATGATGACCATCCTGACTGATGATGGCCACACTAACTAATGATGACCATCCCGACTGATGATGACCACACGAACTAATGATGACCACACTTACTAATGATAACCATTCCGACTGATGACAACCATCCTGACTGACAATGATGACTATTCTGTCTGATGATGACCATCCTGACTGACGATGACCACACTGAGTGATGATGACCACATTGACTGATTATGACCATCCAGACTGAAACATCAAGAGGAATTAGGCACCACAGGATCCACCACATACAAGAGGGATCCCAGGACCAATACACCAATACACCCACAAAAAACAGATTGACTATCAGGTGGAAGTACATTAGCAAATTTCAGCCAGAAATCAGGTAAATATGACTGTGGATCTACAACCCCAATTCCAAAAAAGTTGGGACGCTGTGTAAAATCTAAATAAATGTAAATAAAAACAGAATGCAATGATTTGCAAATCTCATAGACCCATATTTTATTTACAATAGAACATAGAACATATATCAGATGTTGAAAGTGAGACATTTTACCATTTCATGAAAAATATTAACTCATTTAGAACTTGATGGCAGCAACACATCTCAAAAAAGTTGGGACAGGCCCATGTCTACCATTGTGTAGCATCCCCGCTTCTTTTAACAACAGTCTGTAAATGTCTGGGAAGTGAGGGGTCCAATTGCTGGAGTGAGTTTTGGGAGAGGAATGTTGTCCCATTCTTGTCTGATGTATGATTCTAGCTGCTCATCAGTCCTGGGTCTTCTTTGCCAGATTTTTTGTTTAATGATGCACCAAATGTTTCCAATTGGTGAAAGGTCTGGACTGCAGACAGGCCAGTTCAGCACCCGGACTCTTCTTCTGCAAAGCCATGCTGTTGTGATGGATGCAGTGTGTTGTTTAGCATTGTCTTGCTGAAATATGCAATACCTTCCCTGAAAGAGACATTGTCTGGATGGGAGTATATGCTGCTCTAAAACCTCAAAAACCTCGAAAACCTCTATACACTGTTCAGCATTGATAGTACCTTTCCAGATGTGTAAGCTGCCCACACTATAGGCACTAATGCAAACCCAAACCATCAGAGATGCATGTTGTTGAACTGTGCGCTGATAACAAGCTGGATGGTCCCTCCTCTTGAGTCTGCAGGACACGGCATCTGTGGTTTCCAAAAAGAATTTCAAATTTTGATTCATCTGACCACAGAACAGTTTTCCATTTTGCCTCCATTTTAAAAAACTTTGGCCCAGAGAAGGTGGTGGCGTTTCTGGATCGAGTTGACATATGGCTTCTTCTTTGCATGATAAAGCTTGAACCCATACAGTGATTTCCAGTATAGAATCATGCCTGTTTTAAATGCAGTGCCACCTGAGAGCCTGAAGATCACGAGCATCCAATTTTGACTGTCGGCCTTGTCCCTTGGGTACAGGGATTTCTCCAGATTCTCTGAATCTTTTGATGATATTATGCACTGTAGATAGTGGGATTTCCAAAGTCTTCACAATTCTACGTTGAGGAAAATTCTTCTGAAATTGTTCCTCAATTTTTAGATGCAGTTTTTTGCAGATCGGTGAACCTCTGCCCATCTTTGCTACTGAGAAACTCCACCTCTGTAAAATGCTCTTTTTATACCCAGTCATATAAGTTAGTTGCAAATTGCTCCTCCAGCTGTTTTTATTAGTACCACTTTCCAGCTTTTTGTTGTCTCTGTCCCAATGTCTCACTTTCAACATCTGATATGTGTTCTATTGTGAATAAAATATGGGTCTATGAGATTTGCAAATCATTGCATTCTGTTTTTATTCACATTTATTTTTACACAGCATCCCAACTTTTTTGGAATTGGGGTTGTATTTAATGGCTGCCATAGTCATATAAGTTGGACCACTGTGGCCAAGCTATAGTGCATCTATAATTTTGAATCCATATCTTTTTATAATTGTCAGAATAATTATAGAACAATTATGTTAATATAGTCCAAACGTGAACTTTAGAAAACGTGTTTGGGGCATTGTTATTTTTTACCAGACAGTGTAGCCTGCATTTAATATACCGTGTACTCCACAGGTATCAGAAACAACGTTACCATCTTAGTACTCCAACTGAAATACTCAGAGCTTTTGATTTGGCTGGAATATGTGCTCTATTTCCGCTGCTCTACAGTGCTGACCCCTGCTGGCCAACATTGTGACTACCATGCAGGCCCGGTTTCAAATTAGTGGGATTGTCCTCAATCATAGACCAACAAAGGTGTGTTTACCTGACTAACTAACTGGTTATAAAGTACATTATTAGTCAGATTACACATTATGGAAGCACCTGGGCTGCTTTGCTGTTGGTCACACATCTCACACTAAAGGATCCTGAAAAGAGAATAATGTGAGTGCCCAACAAACAGTTTCTTTTTTTTCACATGCTTCACTCTTACTCCACTTGGTATCTACCTCCCCCTTTTTTCACTGGGGTTAATGTTTAATTGAACTGAGAGTGTTTGAGTGCCTGAGTGTAGCTGTACTCCCTCTGTTTATTGATATCTGGCCCAGATCAACAGGTTTAGTTACGCCGCAGTAGCACGAGCTGTAAGGTGACGCCTTGGAGACCACGCCCTCTGGTTGCCACAGCAACCTTCCAGTTGTCCGTAACCACGCCCTCTAGTAGCAACAGAGACCACGCCCTAAAAGAAGAAAGGGGAAAAAAAAAACACCTGACGCACAAAGACTGGGAAGCTTGTGGCCGGATTTCCTCAGAGAAGCAGGGACACTATGGCAGCGGAGGAGTCGCTCTACATGAGGACGGTGCTGTCCCTTCAGGACTCGGTCAAACCCGACGACTCGACTCTGGCCCTGCCGTCCGAGGACAGGCTCGCCCGCTCGGTGAGCCACCGGCGCTGCCGAGTGGAGCAGCAAGTGCAGCAGCTTACTCTCTCCCGGAAAGGAAAGGGGCCGGCTCTCAAAGGTGAGCGACGACTGTCGGTTTCGGGCTAAAACTCACTTCTGCCTGAGGTACTTCAGACCAAAAAAAGCCCTGTCTGCGCTTACATTCCTATAAAAACTTTAGTTGCTCTTCTATAAAGTCGGTCAAAGAGGGAAATGGACACCACTTCAGTTTAACTCACCTGTTAGTCGGTGTTGGATTTGTCTTGTTCCCTTTGCTTATCCAACAGTGCGAGTTCAAACTCCTGTGTATACACAGTTAATGGGGAGGATAGTGTATTTATTTCACGTTTTAGGACAGAGACTGTCACACCCATGCATTATTGAAAGTGTGGAACAAAGCAGGAGGATGTAGAATAAGTGTTAGACAAAAGTACTGTACAAATGAGTGAGGCTGACGGTTCTATTTTGGTGGCTCAACAGATTCTTTGTTCTTCTCAGGTAGCCTGTCTAGTGGCCAACTTGCAACCAGCACATCAATCAGAAATGGTCAAGAAAAGGTACAGCCATCTTCCTTTCAAAATTTTCATCACTTTTGTTTTTACACCATTTGAATTTACATTTACATTGTGTGGACATTTCCTGGTGAATGGACCAATAGAAATGCTCTAGAGTTATTTGAATAAAGTACGATCTCACTCTGTAATCTTACCACTTTGAATACAAGGTTTTCTCACGGTAGCGCTAGTGGATCTAATCCTACAAATATTCAAATGTTAGCTGTTTTTAAAGGCTCTGATTTAAATGATCATGAACCTGTTTCTGCCACAGGCCTCATCTTTTGCTTCAGAGTCAATTAAGCCAGTGAGAAGGGTGGATGTTTCTCACTGGCCGAGTCTGGAGCTCCCTCAGTTTAATGGGGGCTATGGGACGTTAAGGTATGGCTCGTCTGGAAACAGCTTCTACTGGAGGTCGGCAGCCTTTACACTGCCTGCGATGCGATCAGTGTTTTCTGCTGACCACCTCCAGACGACTGTCCCTTCACAGCACTATGCCCACTCTGAGACGCTCAAGAGCACTCGGCCGTTCGTGTCGGGCAGGTCTGCTACGCTGCAGCTTCCCAGCAAGCCCATCTATGAGGATGACCCTTTGGATGATGTCTTCCTGCCTGAGGGCCCACACATCACCCCCTTCAGATCTGAGCATCAGGTGTTTTTGCAGAGGCAGCAGGTGCAGAGATCATTCAGTCAGCCTAGAGAGGAGCTGTATGGATCTCAGGATCTGTCCTGGCTGGTTCGTGATGGGTGGGAGCAACAAGAGACAGCAAGCAGACGCCCTTCGCAGACTGCTTCACAGCTCAACGTTGAGGTGTACACAAACGGGTTGGCAGTGGCTGAAGAACCCAAGGCCAAGCGACAAGCAAGGGTTAACACTGTAAAGTAAGGCTTCAGCTACTGCTGTTTAAAAAGATCAGTAATTTTACCTTTTTGTGTGAATTTATATATGTAATTACATATTAATTATGTTGCTAGTTCTATAAGTAATTATATTTGTATTCTGTATTGACAGGTTTGAGAGTGCACTGACTTTTTCTGTTTTTTATCACAAAAAAATGGGAAAAGAGTATTTTTCTTTGCAGAAAATTAGTTCACAGTAACTTTTTCTCAGATTCAAATTATAGTAAACTCCACCTCTCCTTAGACACACAAATGTGGGATCGACTGAAAGTTCAGAATCCACTTTTTCTCTGCTTCTCTATATTACAGCCTGGTTGATCAATAGCCAAATTTTTGTTTATGTTGGTTAAATGAACACATGAAACACACATTTCATTCAATCACTTTCTATTAGCCAAGTTTGCAATATAAACAACATTATTCACTTTTTAATGGGCCAAACTGGTGTTTTAAATTTCTCAGTTTAAATTTCTCAATAAATCAGTCGAATTTACATAACATGACTCAAAAAGTGCTACATTAAAAGTAAGAGGCAGCTGGCTGTCCAGCACAATGAGTCATTCATAGTTATGCAACACCATTTTGGTAAAGGTGAAGCAGCAGCATTCAGAGACAGAGTGAGTACCCTTACCTGCCTCACTTTATTTACCTCATAAAACTGAAAGACAGATCAGACAAAATAAAAAAAATAAGTTGGTTAATTGCCGATTTCATAGTTCGAGCAAAAAAAATCTTTTTTTTTTTTTTATCACCAATGATAACCACAACAACCAAAGACACTATGTACTCTAAGCCACAAACTTTGGCTTTATGTACCTACATCAAAGACATTTTGTTTAAAAAGTGAAAATATTGTGTGTGTGTGTGTGTGTGTGTGTGTGTGTGTGAGAAAGACGGGGAAAGCAGGGTGCAGAGATGACAATAAGGACGGCTGTGAATGACCTTTCTCAGGAGAACACAGAAAGGCAGCTGACTGCTGCAAAGTTCATACAAAACCAGTGCTTCAGCAGTGCAGATGCTAAGAAAACAGTAAGTAATATCGCCCTATAAGTCTGCTGAATTCAACCCTTTACAAGTAATTAAACTGTTACTACAGATTGAACTAAAACTTTAACATTTTCATATTTCTTAAATCCAGAATTGACGTCTGAAGTTATATCTTGAAGTGATTTTTTTGTGTTTTTGGACGGTAATACAGTCTCTGATTCTCTCGTCTGTGCTTTCTTCAGCTGTTGCACCAGGATGGCATCCCAAAGCTGTTGAAGCTGCTGGACTCTGAGGATGAAGAGCTGCAACAAGCCGCCACAGGAGCACTCCGAAACGCTGTCTTTGAGAACACCGAAAACAAAATGGAGGTGAAAGACTGTGATGGTGTTGCTGTGATCCTGCGCCTGCTCAGTGTAAACCGGAACATCGAGATGCGACGACAGATCACCGGTCAGTCACCAGATTTTTAAATGTGTTTTCTAGACATTTTTACATGATCACCAGAGCATGATTATTTGAGTCGATTACAATTATTTTCCACAGCTGTTACTTTTTACTATCATATATTTATGACATGACAGACAGCATGTGGATTGGGTTTTTAGTTTGAGGCAAATGCGTGTGAATCAATGAAAACACAAACACTTATTGAGACCCGTCATGGGCCTTACAGCAAAGTTCTACCTTCTGACACCTCTAGAGGGCAGCAGCGAGTAATGTTTATTTATTTGATGTTTGTTAATGACAACTTTGGAGAGCAGTGGTGAGTAATGTTTGTTTAATGTTGGTTGAGAAAACCCTTTAGAGGGCAGCAGCGAGTAATGTTTGTTTGGTTAATGTTTGTTGAGAAAAACCTTTAAAAGGCAGCAGCAAGTAATGTTTGTTTATTAGATGTTTGGTAATAACAGCTTTAGAGAGCAGCGGTGAGTAATGTTTGGTTATTGTTTGTTGAGGAAACCCTTTAGAGGGCAGCAGTGAGTAATGTTTGTTTATTTGATGATTGTTAACACCTTTAGAGGGCAGCAGTGAGTAATGTTTGTTTATTTGAGCTCAAGTTGTTTCCATCGTCAGTTGGGACCTACTAAGTATCAATAGCTAGAAAGCAAGATAGCTAATCAGCTGATTTAGCCACTTTAGGCTAGTACTTTAATAACTGCATATAATTAACAAAAAAGACTATTAAGTTGTTTATCACAATTTATTATAATGCAATTTATTGTAAACCAAAATTTCATGATCATCAAAAAAAACAATTTGTAGAGACTTGTAGTGTCCAGTTTGTTTCAAGACAAAAAACCTATAGCGATAATACACTTTGGAGTCAGTATCTTAGTAAATACATTTCTAGACATCACTAGTCAGTATAAATATGAACTGAGATTGCCTGAATGCTGAATGCTGTTGACTGCAGTTCTGGATTCATCCATCCATCCATTGTGCACATCTGCAAAGAACGAGTTGTCTTGAATGGTTTGCTACTTCTCTGAGCAGCTTATTATTTAATACAGGATTGTGCATTGTGTTCTTCTAAAATATCGCAACCATTGCTGACCACCCATACTGCTCAAATCCTCATCTAAAGCTTGGACTACTGCACTTCTTTTACTATTGGGTCTTCTTTCATATACTACTGTGTCAGCAGAAAATAAAGAATGCCGTTTCTCCAGTTGAGTGCATCTTTTTCATGTCATACTTTTGTCAGATTATCCAGCTTCGAGTCACAACAGGCATCAAATACAAATGTCTAATCCTTACAGTCCGAGCTTCAAAAGAGCGTGCTCCTCACAACGTCCAAACTAAGGTTCAGAATTATAGCCCTGCACAGCAGCTCAGAAGCACCACAGGATACCTGCTGATCCCACTGCCTTAGAAGCCTGCCTGTCCTCCATAATTACTGCTAGCAGTAGTTAACTCTCTATTCAGAGATTACTCTTAGCTGATACAGGGTGAAGGGCTTCACAAGCTTCATACAAGCTTTTTGCTGTTTTATTTAATCTGCACATTCTGTAGATCAGTGGATTTTGCTGGAAAATCATGAATTATTGATATTCAGTCTATTTGGTTTGGCCAGTGTGAGTGGTTAAAAGGAATTTGTGCACTCTAATTTGTTTTTGCCTGTTTTGGTCGACATCTGAACGGTTATGAGTAACAAGAATGAAATGACTAGATCAGTTTGGCAAAAAATCAAACATGTCTACACAGTTCTCCTCCTTACCCTAAGTGGAGGCAAATGACCCAAAACATGTTTGGTATCTTATGTTTGCCCTTCTACGTTTGCACTGAAGCTGCAAACTAATGAAAATAACAAGTAATGCAAGTTTGCGCTGTGCCAGTTAGCATCGTCCAAACTGCATTTCTTAAATTGCACGTTTGCTTTAATATACTCAATTAGACTTGCATATCTGGCTTCTGACATGAAATGACAAACTGTTGTTTACAGTTGTATGCAAAATTTAAACACTGTAGTCAAATGGCATGTTTTGTTGATTTACTCCACAAAGAACACACTCACATGTGCTATATTTCTGCAATTTTTAGAGCACGATTGAAAAAAAATCCAAATGTGCAATAACTTCTGTACAAGCCACAGCAAATAAATAGGAATTTTATGTCTGTACTGATGTGTAACTTAGTTCCACCTAGGAAATCAGCAAAACATGTCATTTGACCAGGGGTAACTTTTGAAATATCAGTTTTTGTTGTCTAAAAGAGTGCAGATCTTTGGTGGTTCCATGAGTCCAGGTAGTAGTTTCTCCTGGAGTTGGCTGGTGGTGTCTTTTTAAAGGAGAATTCCACCTGTTTTTTATAATTTCTCATAATTCAATGGTTGAGATGTAAACAAAGTGATTTGACATGCAATGCTGTATTCTAGAGAAACATACTAACTCAGATTTCTTTACAGTGGTGGTGATGGGAACCAGGGGTTGCAATGTCTACAACACAAATATAGCCATTTTATTTACTATTCAATATGATCAATGAACCTACTCATGTCTTCTGAGTTTTTATGTTTAATGCTGATGATGGTAAAATCTGAAAAAAAGTGTGTCACTTTGGATTTTGCCTTACGGCATTCTGCATGTACCACTCCTTTCTCTTTTAGGTAAAACCTCCTCAAAGCTATACTAAAACAATGTCTCAAACATCAGATAGTGTATTCATAACCAATTTATGTAATACTGTTCTGTGAGGCAGCTTTCAGAGGCATTAAACTCTTCAGACGTCTGGTTCCTATCACCACCTCTGTGAACAATTCTGTTGGTCAGTTGATCTGGAAAGGAGAATTTCACATAAAGTCATTCTGAATAAACTTGTTTACATCTCAGTGATGAATAATTAAGTAGACATTTTGAGAAATCAGTAGTATTCCCTTTCAAGCCTTTAAATGTTGACTTTCCCATCAGGGCTGCTGTGGAATCTGTCCTCTCACGACATGCTGAAGGAGCAGCTGTGCAGAGACGCAGTAAAACCACTCACTGACACCGTGCTGGTGCCCTGTTCAGGTATCTCAGAGGGGGAAGACCCCAAACTGGAGCTGCTGGCTGATTCTGATGTTTTCCTCAATGCTACAGGCTGCCTGAGGTATGACTAACCTCCACAGAGGACATACAGAAAGTGAAGAATATATATAAATAGCTGTGGGCAATTATGCTGTGAATATGCAAGTCTCTCTCAATGCATTTATACAATATATAAGTGATGCATTTGGGTGCTCTTATGTGGCTGTATTGGTTTTTAGGAATGTAAGTTCAGCTGGTCCGAATGGACGTAAATCCATGAGAGATTGCAACGGTCTCATCGACTCTCTTGTTTATTATGTGCGTGGAACCATTGCAGATTATAAACCTGATGATAAGGTATCCTTATTATGTTCACATTCTTTGCCAGTTCAGACTTTGACCCTGTTTAATCTTGTTTATTGTAAACTTCAGGAAAAATGTTTTGTGTGTGTTTTCTAATAATAGTGCGGGTTTTGTGTAGAAACCACAGAGAGCCTATTTGGTCTGCCTGCCAAACATTTTTCCATCTGTGGTGAATATGAATGCTATTGTTTTGTCTCTCTTTTGTAGGCTTTAGAAAACTGCGTGTGCATCCTGCATAACCTGACTTATCAGTTTGAATCTGAGCTTCCTGAAGCACTCCGGCCGGTGCTGCAGGAGTCCAGACAGAGTCTTGCACTTCAGACCCAGACGCCTGGCTGCTTCAGTATGAAGAGTGCCAAAATCGCTGAGAGAGACAATGCAAGTCATTTTATTTCAAATGTGTTCATTTCTAGATTCACTGGAAACACAGTTGAACCAACTGTATTGATTTAATGCATTATTATTATTATCATTATTATTAGCTTAAAAGCTTAAATGTTATTTTATGACTTGTCACATATGCTTGTGTAAATAACTGGTAGCACAAACAAACAACATTATGCTGGAGTGTTGCTGTTCTCACCCCTGCTGGTGGTCGTTTTAGCATGAGGAGTCAGACTGCCCCCTGCTGGAGGAAAAGGGAAACCCTCGTGGTGCTGAGTGGCTGTGGAGTGCCATCACCATTCGCATGTACCTGTCTCTTGTTGCCATTAGCAACCGCCAGCTGACGCAGGAGGCAGCCATAGGAGCCATGCAGAACCTCACTGCAGGCACTGGAGGGGTAATACCAGTTATAAAATGAATCCACTAAGCACTGCACTGTCTGCACGCATTTATTGTGGACCACAAAAACTGATACACTGATTGGGTTTTTTTCCTTCATTCGCAGACCAAATCATTGTTTTTCAGCCTTATCTCTACCTGCCACATCTGTACCATATTATCGCTGTCCAAAAACCATGTATCCCCATTTTTGTTTTTTTGTTTTGTTCAGCTGCCTGTAACAAAGTGAAAATTTCATGATGAACTGACCAAAAGAAATGCTCCAAAATCACTGAATAAATTCTTGTTACATTAACGTACACTGAAAGTAAAGAACATTTTTGCCTTCTATTAAACAGTTACTATTATGGAGGTACTTGTTTTTCTTTGGACAGCGATGATAAGAGTGATTACCATGGACAAGAATTTTAACTCGCTTTATGAAAAAAAGAACAAAAAACCTGTTGTCTCAAAATACACTTGTAATAGAAGCCAATGGGCAGTTGCTCCAGACTGAAAAACACTGAAATAGTGCTTTAAGGAGGAGAGCTCATTAATAACAGAAGTCAAATACCTGTACATGCTGCTGTTTACATAGACTGAGCCAGTTGAGCCACTTTAATGTTGGATATTAACTAAACGTTTTACTACAAAATAGTGAAAATATATTGATGTTTTCCACAAGTTAAATATTTTACATTTATGGTCACACAAAAGACTGAGTCGTACTTAAGAAATGTACTATGCAAAAATTTGAGACCAGCCTTTTATTTAATTCATTTCCAATGAAAATGACTATTATTTACTATTATATTGTTATAAGTTATTCATTTTTCAGTGTTAGGAAAAAAAGCAGAAAACATATATTTAACATGAAATAACAGAAGCCTTAACAACTAAATGTAATATCACATTTTCAGTATTTAGCTCAGTATTTACCTTTATTACAACTTCCATTCCTTTCAAAAGACTTGGTTTCAGTTTTTGAAAAGAAATCTACAGGGATATTTTTCCACACCTCCAAAGCTCCGTCTTTGAAGTTGGTTGCTTTTTCAGTTACAGTTTAGACTCATGAGTCCATAAAATCGCACTCCATAGTTGACCAGTTTCAGTGTTGAAGTGCAGATTTTCTTTGTTTTGTCTATTTGCTTTTTATCAGTTACAGCTTCTTTACAGCTACACATCCTTTTAGACTCATAGTGTTGAGTTGTTCTTCTCAGAGTGGAAGGATGGACAGAAACAGCTGTGGATTTTTTTTCACATCTGAAGTAAGAGTGGAGCTTGATTTTCTCCTCTCTCTCAGCGATGAAAGCTTTTAGTATTGTGTATCTGGTGGTGTTAGAAGTCCTATTCTCTCTGTATCTTTTAATCATTTTTGTACTCCAGTTTTGGAAACTCCTGGTTTTTCATTTATTTCCCTCTTTATGTAAGTGGATTATCTTTTATCTAGTCTCCTCAGAAATATCTTCTCCAGTAGTTTTAGCTGCACATGAAAGAAATTTGCAGGGCTGTTAAGGAGTGTTTGGGTAGTTGCTCATGTGAATGTCTGAAGGGGAACATGATGTCAGTGAGAGCTTTGGGAAAACCTTTTGTTGGAGGACACAGTTGTGTGAGTTGCATGAAAGAGTAAAGCGGCGGTAGGGTGGACAACTTAAGGTGTTAATTTCTGTAAAATGTATATTTTCTGCTTTTTTCCTGATACTGAAAAATGAATAACTTGTAGCTTAATGGCTGTTTTTACTAAAAATTGAATAAACAAAGTGGTGGTCACTGACTTCTGTACAGTACTGTAGATCCTTGTCACGAAGAAATGTGAATTGGTGTTTTGATGCTACCTAATCTGCAATCACATTGTATTTCAAAGGTAATCATTTCCAACATGCCTCCTCAGGTGTCGCAAGCTGTAGCCCACATCATAGTGCTGAGAGAGAATGGCCTGCAGCAGGTGAAGAAGATGCTCCAGGAGGGAGAGGAAGAAGTGAGGAGGGTCTCCCTGAGTCTGCTCAAAAACCTGTCCCGCAACAAAGAACTCCACTCAGACATCAGTGAATATCTCGCCAACATTACTGTCACATATAGTCCATGTTTTAAAAAAACACAGAGATGATTAAAATGAACACATCAGGCTCTTTTGCTGTCAATGCTTTTGCTTCACATTCTGATGTGAGTTAGAGTTTCTTTAGTTTTTCCATTTTGCTGGGAAAGCAATTTTAAAACAACAGTGCTTTCCTTTTAATTTCCTCTTAAGCTTGTTCTAATAATGTTGTTTGGATCTTGTCTAGTTAAACAGGTGTTGCCAGAGCTGGTAGCCATACTTCCCACGACTTACGCAAACACAGGACAGCTTGTGATGGCCACGGCAATCTGTCAAATTCTCAACAACCTGAGCCAAACTTCTGTACAGAACGCTCGTGCCATTCTGAACCAAGGGATGCTGCTCCCCAAGATCATCAAAATCAGCACCAGAGACCACAGGTACCCAATCACTCTGTTACTGTAAATATCACGTTGCTGTAGAATTATGTTATTGTAGGTAAAACATGCACAGCCAGCTTCAGAACCTGTCCCTGCATCTAAGTGGTGTTTAGTTCTAAACTGGTAGGGCTACTTTAAAACTTTTTTTACCTTTTTCCCTTAAAACCAGCTGATGAATCAGTCTGACTTTGTCTCACATTTTGGTGTGAAATTCTCCTGTAACATGGAGCAGATATCCTGCTTTCTTGAGTGATTACAAGTCCTATCAGGCCCTGATATATGAAAACACCCTTAACGCATGACACGTCTACCTGTTTTACCACTATTGTGGAGTTACTGTGGTCAACCTTAAGAGCATTATTTGAGCTTTAGTCAGATATAGCACAGCCTAGTTTGTTTATGATTAATTAATCTGTAGAATGTTGTTCACTGTGTTGCTAGTATTGATGATGAAGAGACTTACTGTTAGAGGTGGGCAATATGACAGTATTTTATCATGATAAATAATACGTTCTTCTGAGCACGTCATGGATATTGTTACTTTAAGAATATTGGCAGTTTTTGTTAATTGTAGCACTACTAGTGCACTGAGTCAAAATATTTTGATTCATATCATGTAATATGAAAGTTGTCATGATATGATGTTTTTTGGCGTATCGCCCACCCCTACTTGCTGTCACTCTGCAGAGGATTCTGCTCTCCATTTGGACAATGTGTTTCTGACTCTGAGCCTAAGAAAGGACTTCAGAACCCTCTCCAGATCAATAAATGTCTATAGCATTTTTCATTTTTTAGTGCCTCTGAAACCTTTTACACAGTATTCTCACAGTGTAATTATCCCAACAACCAGAGGTGGGCAGAGTAGCCTAAATCAGTACTCAAGTAAAAGTATTGATATTTGGGTAAAATAATAACAAAAGTAAAAGTTCCTTCCCAAAATACAGCTTGAGTAGCAGTATAAAAGTACTGGGTCAGAATATTTCTTAAGTACTGAGTTACTCACAGCATAGGAACTGATGATTGTTAGACTCTGATCTTCTCATTTTTGGGATTCTGTCAGCCTAAAGTTAAATGCAGAAGCTCCAAAGTCAGACATGTGACCAATTGCAAAGCAGTACAGATGTTGTGACCCACAACACAGTGAAATTATACACAAATAGGAGTTATTACCTAAGTAAGAATGGCTAAAATGTAACTATATAGAGTAAAATGTAGATTCATTCACTCACTAATATACTTGAGTAGAAGTAAAGTATTATTAGTATTATTTGTAGTAGTATTATTAGTTTTATTATATTAGTATTATTATAATATTAGCATTATTATAGTAGTATTACAGGTATTGTTACTTGAGTAAACTAATTAATGCCCACCGCTGTCCATAACAAGGCTGGAGTCATTAGAAGGGACACATTCAAGGCACAAGATCAGCAGAAAATCAGGGAAGCTAATACAGATGTATGAAAAACTTTGAAAACTTCTGTTCAAATGACGTTTCTGTTGATTTTCTAAGTAAAAATAAGTTAACACATCCTCTACAGGAAACTTAAATGTGACATTTTTCTACAAATTTTAATGTACAATAGTTATTTGCCGTTTATTTGCTGAATTTAACATAATGGAAAAATTAAATTAAATCTAAAACCTAACCTGTGCCATAATTTTGGCACAGGCCACATTTTGTTTTATTTTTTTCCCAATGTGTTAATTTCAGCAAATAAACAGTAATTGTGTATTAAAATGTACATTAAAATGTTGAGGATGTGTAACTTATTTCCACTCAGAAAATCAACAAAACATGCCATTTGACCAGGGGCGCCCAGACTTTTGCATACGACTGTACTCTTTCATCATCCTGTTTGGGTCATCAGTTAACAAATGTGACCATAGCTTTTATTTTTTTTATTTGACATGGTGTAGAAATGCACCCACGAAAGCTGGCCAGGCTGCTGGTGTCCTGCTGCAGACTCTGTGGAGGCATTCAGAGCTTCATGGGAGCTACAAGAAGGTCAGTGTTTGATTGATTATCCAGTAAAGTTTAAAAGTATAAATTAGTTGAAATAAGAAGATCAGGTAGGTGCTACTCTACCTATTACATTTCATAACCTCTTCTGTCGTGATCTGTGGCAGGCCGGTTATAGGAAGACAGACTTCATAAACAGCAGAACAGTGAGGGCAGTCAGTTCTGCTCATGACTGACCTCAAGTGGACAACAGGAGGATTACAGAAGAAAGACTAAAAAACAAAACCTAAAATGTTTCAAACCTGGAAAAAGTCTGGAAAAGGCTTCCTTGTGCAAGTGTAAATGTAATTTGTATTTAATATTTTTTATAATTGTAGCGTCTTATGATGTTTTTCCATCTATTTGCTATCTTGTTTTTTTTTATTTTTATTAAACAACTTTTAAACAAATATTCAGCCTCCAGTCTGCTTCCATTCACGCTGCTGCATATTGCCTCCCCTGATATGCATTAAAGTTTCACAAATGAAGCTCCTCACACAAACTTTTTGATAAATAAAAAACATCTTTACTAATTCACTTACTCATTCTGTAAAGGGCCCATATCATGAAAAACAAACTTTTGTTTGATGTAATACATAAACATTGTTAAAGTCTCACTGACTTATAATAAGTATAATTCACTCCCCACTTCATACAGTCCATGTATTGGAACAAAGCTGCAAAAACAGCCTGTTTTGAATTCACCGTCTTTGTGATGTCACAAAAACACATTTACAATTCGCTCTACCCAGCCTACAGCAGTTTATCCCTGCCCACTCACACTGAACTTATAGGAAGTTCAGCCAGGACTGCGTTTTGAATAAGGAACAGTACAGATCAGCCATTCAGAATATAGTTCATTTACATATATAAGTCTTAAAGGCACAGTAACAAGAAAAGCCTGTTTAAGAGGTTGAATAATGGTCATGTAAAAATGAATTGATTATTGTTGGTAGCACACAAATATTATAGCTGGACCTCAGGGGCAAAAATACAAGAAAATTATGAGAAAAATTGTGGGCCCTTTAAATGAAATGAAGAATTGCATATGGCAATAAAAACCTGCTCAGAAATATTTCCATCCTTCTGAAGGTCGGCATTAAACTGCAACATCACGTCAGAGGAGGGTCAGTGTCACTGAATATATATCAGGTTTTATAACCTCATATGTTGTATGCATGGCATGCTCCTCATAGAGGGCAGGGGGAAAAGGGAAGACGTTACAGTGGCTGGCTGAAAACAAGGCGCACGTCCCTTCTGAATATTTTATCCTTTGATGATTTAAGAACAAGCCGTTCTGAGCTCCTGTCCTTGGATCTTCATATCACAGAAGACCATTCTGACCACTCATACGGTCCAAGAACACACGGTCTGCTGATGTCAAGCTCTGTTTAGCGGCACGCTCAAGAAACTCCACTCCATACAGCATATTTGGCATCATGACAGTGAGCTAATGTCTACACTGTTTACCTGCTGAAGCATTCAAATCATGTGAGACTTTTAAGATTTTTAAAATGCAATTGGGTTCTGTTAAAAATCTATATTATCAGGATTTCAAAATGTCCCATCATGTGAAGCTTTATTGATCAAAGCTTTCACCAGATGTGTAAGTTTAGAGTGGATAAGCTGTGATCCCACCCAACATTCTGTGAAAGGATTGTGTGGAATCCTCTTAATGACCTCTGGAGCGCTCCAAGAGAAGGCCTCACTAGAGCAGCGCAAGCATACCAGAGAGAGAAGCTAGGAGCAGAGGCCTTCAACTCCAAACCTCACATCCAGGTCCTGGATTTTTTGTAATCACTCAGCCAACATTACAAGTATAGTAAAAAGAGTAATAATAATACATAAATATACAAAATCAAATAAATAAATTAATTAATTAATTAAAAAAATCAAGAAAAAGGTGCTTGAATCACACAATCTGTCAGTATGATGAGAAAAATTTGAAGATTTCTTCAAATATATAAACAGATCTTAATGTCTTATAGGGGTCCACAGATCTAAAGGGTCTAAAGTCCGCAGATTTTAGCTAATTAAATCATTAAGATGTAAACAGAGTCATTCAGAGTGGTTTGGTGTGAAATGCTTTGTTCTAGACAGAGTCAGAGTTGTTCACAGTGGTGGTGATAGGGACTAGATGTCTGAAGAGTTTAATCCTCCTAAAGGCTCCCTCGCAGGAAGCTTTTACATGAAATGGTTAAGAATACACTGCCGGATGCATCTTTCACAATTGTTTTACAATAAACTTTTGGTGACTCTGTTACACTGCAGGAAAGCATGGTAAGAACGGCCTGGGTTCAATTCCCTGGCCAGGTGACCAGGGTCCTTTCAGTGTGGAGTTTGCTTGTTTTCTCCGTGTCTGCGTGGATTTCCTCCAGGAGCTCTGGTTTTCTCCCACAGTCCAAAGACATGCAGTCAGGCTAATTGGACATGCTGAATTGCCCCTATAGGTGTGTGTTTGACTGTATATGTCAGTCTGTCTGCTCTGTGATGGACTGGCGACCTGTCCAGGGTGTTTCTTGCCTTCCGCCCAATGATTGCTGGGATAGGCTCCAGGCTCCAGATGCAACCCAGGATAAGTGGCTTAGAAAATGTGTGTGTGTTACACTGCTGGGGGGTTTTGCTGGTATGGTTTTGGTCCACTTATATAGATTATTAGTAATGTAAACAGTGTTAGAAAGGTAAACAGTCAGAATAACTGTGTGTTGATTTGCATTAACGCTTCAGAATAAAAGGTCAGTGCAAACCAACACAAAGTTATTCTGACTGATTCTCTTTATCCTGTGATGAAAGAGTTCAATCCTGATGGCGATGAGTCTCTTCTAGGATGACAATGCTCCCATCCACACATGCGGTCACTGCATGATTGGATGAGTATGACAATGATATAAATCATATGCTATGGTCTTCACAGTCACCAGATCTCAATATACAATATGAGAGATCTTGGGACTGTTGTGTTTAGTGGTGTCTCTCCACCACGATCATCAGAACACAAACTGAGGGAATATCTTTTAGAAGAATGGTGCAGTAGAATCATTCTAGAATCAGTGCATAGAAGCACTGAAGATGTTCTTGTGATGGTCCAATGACATATAATATACATTTATATGTACTGCTGTATCTTCAGCCTGTTAGTGTTACATTATCAGTCTTCAGTGTTACATTATAAAACGGCATGCTATCTGGCTGTGTCATCAAAAGACATACCCACTTACCAGCCCTCACCCTGCTCTCTCTGGGTTCTCCTTGACTTTCTTTCTTTCTTTCTTTCTGTCTGTCTGTCTGTGTTCGCCCACAGGGCTGGTCCTGTTTTATGAATGAATGATTATGTAACCCTTGGAGACTGCGGAGACGCAGAGCGACTGCTGCAGTGTTTTATGCGCTAACGTAAGATCCATGCCAGGCCCTGTCTGAGGTAAGAGCAGCTTTTATAGCACCCAATTCTACTCACTATCAAAATCTGGGTTGGGCTGTTTAACGTTGCCAGGAGACAACAGTATGACTATGTCCTCCAGAATACTTAGCTGACAAGCTGACTGCTAATAGGAGCCATAATCATGAATATAAATAGGTATAAAAATGTCTTCCTGCCATATCAGCGCCATAAAATAGCACTGACAAGTTTCAGCTATCTTAAATCAGCGCTGATTAACAGCTGCTATAAATAAGTTGCATGTAATTGAGAATATAAAAGTACATGACTGAGAGAAGACGTGTGCTCATGAAACTTGAACATTATATGATCTTGTTTGGAGAGACTGCCTCTGTTAATTTGGTATATCAGGCTTCTGAAAGAGTGATGAAAGAATCAGACAGATCTCGTAAATATCCCCAATGACTATGGTTATGATGTAAATTATACTGCTATCTCTTGTTTTGCTGTACTTTCCCACAATCTGTAAATTATAATGTCTCCGTCGTGTGTTGTTTGTGTCTCTAACTAAGAGCTTCGCTTGATTACATGCTGGGCCTCGACGTTTGCTTTCGGCCTGTCGGTGGGATTAGTGAACAGGGCTCTTGTCTCAGGTAGAAGACCTCGCTTGCCCTATGTTATTATTGTCAATTGTCCAACCGTCACTTATACTGTAATGTCTCCTTTGTTGTGCATACAGCTTCTCAACTCATTCACTACTCATAAATATTGCTTAAACGTCATGACTTGCCACAAGTTGATGCCAAGTATACAGTCGTATGCAAAAGTTTGGGTGCCCCTGCTCAAATGACATTTTGTTGATTTTCTATGTGAAAATAAGTTACGCGTCCTCTATAGAAAACACACGTCTGCACAGTTTAATGCACAATTACTGTTTATTTGCTGAATTTGACATGTTGGAAAAAATAAGACATACAATGTGGCCTGTGCAAAAGTTATGGCACATTTTATACTGTGTTTTATTTTCGATTATGTTAAACTCAGCAAATACACAGAAATTGTTCACAAAATTAGAAGAAAAATATTAAAGCGTGTTCTCATACAAAATCAATAAAATGTATGCTAATTTGACCAGGGGTGTTCAATCTTTTGCATACGACCACAAGAACAGAAGACCCCATCTAGGCCTCATGAGTTTAATCACTGATATAATGCTGATTGGTTAACAAATACTAGGTCCATTAACCTCCTTTCAAAGTTAAGAACAATTTCCTTCTCCTGAAACATTACCACTTTGGAGATCCACTGTTTGCTGTGACAGCAATGATAAGCTTATGTTTTTGAATTGTATATGGATCATTCTTCTGACTCCGTTAAAAGTTGAGGTTGAAAGCACATTTCAGGCTTTTAACTGACTTGGACTTTAGACTAAAACCCTTCTGCTTTGAGTGACCCTATACCTTAATTGTGTTCATTTTATTGTCACAAACAAAACAATCGTAACATGACACACTTAAAAACATGGTTCATCAAGGGTTCTTTAGTAAAGAAATGGTTCTATATAGCTGGTATGATGTTCTTATGGTGGAATGCAGTGTTAGCTTTACACTAGATGCAACAGGACCCATGTCTTCTTAAAAGTTCCACGTTTGGCTCATCAGTCTACAGAATATTATCCCAAAAGTCTTGGGTCCATCTAGACAAATGTAAGACAAGTCTTTGTGTTCTTTTTGGTCAGCAGTAGTTTGCTCCTTGCAACTCTCCCATGGATGCCATTTCTGCCCAGTGACTTTCTTATAGTAGAATAGTGTACATTGACCTTAACTGAGGCAAGTGAGGCCTGCAGTTCTTCAGATGTTCGTCTGGGTTCTTTTGTGACCTCCTGGACGAGTCATCGACCAGCCACTCCTGGAAAGGTTCGCC